TGCGGGATTTAAATAAAAAATCTTTTTTTTGTCTTTTCAATTTGTTGGTTTTTGAATTTGCATAGAGAGAGAGGGGTAGAGAGCGTCTTCTGTGGGTGAAAAAACAGAAAGGGAATGGGAGAATGGGGAATAAGTAAAATAAATAAATAAATAAAGATATTCCAACCAAAAAAAGAAGTAAAAAGTTAAGATAACCGGCCTCAAATATATAGCTATAGTAATTAAGTGGTTAGAAATATACCCATCCTCTAAAATCCACCCGTGCAAATCTGCTGCTTCCGTAAGAGCATCCCTCCATGTCATCACCTCCTCCATGCCATTAATGAATATGCGTTCATGGTCGACAAATGCTTTACCAAAAGTGCCCAATTGCTTTCTCACATGCGAGGGTTTCACTTTGTAAAAAATTGGCATAACCATCTGTTGCTTTGATCTTTTACAATCAAGGATATGGACGAGTTCATCCAAGCACCAGGGCGAGGATCCATAGTTTTCGGAGAATACGATGATAGAAATCTTCGACCCTTCAATTTCTTCGAAAAGTGCTGGTGACATTTGTTCCCCTCTCTTATAGTCAGTATCCATGAAGGTTTTAATTCCCTTCTGTTGCAAATTGCTGTACAAGTGGTCTGTAAAATTGTAGCGTGTATCTGCAGATCTATAACTGATAAAGACATCATTTCTCCAAGAATTGGTGGAAGAAGAAGAGGAAGGGGATACTGATTCACTGGTGATTAAAGCCATAATATTTGATGGGTGTCGGATAAGGTACAACAGGGGAAAAGAGTTACGAATCGTGGTCAGGCGGCCAAAGAGCTTCTCAAGTTATATATATGGGCGGCCTCTTGCTGGGCACCACAGATACTTGAGAAGCAGTTTCCTGGTACCTTCAACGTGCCTGAATTTCAAGCTAAGTAAATACGACAAAGTCCTACTACTTTCGGTCTACCTTACCTTCGGTTTCCACACATATGATGTTGACTTGAACAGAGGGGCAGGGCAGTAGCATCCAGAGTGATTAGCAAATTGACTTGGAGTTCCTTGGTCTTTTTAATTGGAAATATCACAAATTGCATATATGTAATTTACCAGAACCACTTTTTTCTTTCCTTCGAATTAGTGGCGGAGGTAGAGTTTAATATTTGGGGGGGCCACAAGCTTAAAACTATGGGATTTTTTGTGCAATCTATACTATACTCTTTATACGTTCAAAGAGGTGAGAAGATGGTGGGGGGCCAGGCCATCTCAGGCCTATGAATAGCTCCGCCCCTGCTTCGAATTGACAACAGTGGTTCTTACTTTCAAGGATGGAATTTCTGTGATTGTGAGTTCTTGACTTTAGTAATTTGCAGTGTGAAAACAATACACCTTGAGTTTATTATTGGTATCGCCATTCAAAACTTTTCTCAAGCAATAAAAGCCGTACATGAAATTAATTAAGTGCATTTTTTTTTTCTTCTGTATGAATTGATTGGATTAAGTGGACATTCTTTTCCTCTGTCTGAATTGATTGAATTAAGTGCATACCTATTTCTAATTGAAAAGGACTTAGACTTGTTGAAATGACGCGGTGGTGGGAGTTGTGGTGGGGAACGAGAAATTTTTAAATGTTCCTAGTACACTACGTGGCTAGTGTACCATCCAATAAACCTAGTACATGTGGAATTACTCTCAAACTTAATGCATTATTTTTTATGACATGTGGGCGGGCTGCATTGAAAATATTCCACATGTCCTCCGTCTAGTGGATGGTACACCAGCCACGTGGTGTACCGGGAACGTAGATAAGGAAAAATCCAAGTCATCCAACGGAATAATCCATATTACACCAGCAATTAATTATTTTAATTCCAAAATCTGCATGCAAACACGTAATCAATACATAAAAGTTCCACAACATCCCCTTTCTCAGTTTTCCTTTATTTACATCTTTTGTTTGGAAATATTTTTGCACGTTGAATTAAGATTGATTATTATTTAATTAGTGATCATTTTGGAAAGATCGGGAGTTTAAAAATTAAATGTCATCAATGACAATTTAATTAGAAAAATAGCTCTTTATATCCGTCTGAATGCAGTGCATGTAGAAATAACTCAATATTGTTTTTCCAATCACTTCTTTATTGATCAAAATGTCAACAAATATTATCTCTTGATGAAGATGGAACTTGGAGCAATATTAAATAGTTATTTACTATGTACAAGTATATATGCAATGCCATTTGATTATGCCAGTCCATAAATAGATAGCTCTTTCACTTTCATAGATGGTTATTTAGCTTAAGAGGGCAAAGAAAGAATATTTTAGAACATTGGAAATACAAGGGCAATGCTCAAGTAAGAACTGTTTATAAACTGAATATTAAAATCTTGCACTGGTTTAATATCGACCGCTCCAAATGCTAAGGGATGGGTGGTGTTGCATCATCTATGTTGAATCCAAGTTAAAGCTATACAGAGCAGAGACCGCTTTTTTGCTTGCCAGATTACCAATTTAATAGATGTTGTAAAATTTCATTAAACTTTAATATTAATTACATCGTGTTTTTTTTTTGACAAAAGAGCGATAGTATTTTATTAATAAGATAAAAAAAAAAACAAATTGACAACTTGATGTATATATCCATACTTTAGAGCATCTCCAAGGGATATGTCAAATACCAAACATCAAATTTAAATTTGATGGCTGATGTGGCAATTTGACATTTACATAGTTTTACACTCCACCCAATATGTCAAATAAATAATTATTGTAATAGTCAAATCATTCAAGATAAAGAAGAAAAATAATAAAAAAGGAAAATAATAAATGAAAGTAATAACCAGCTGTCTTTAAAAAAATAATAAAATATTCATTTGACATCTTGCTTTTGGGATGTCAAAAGTAACAGCTGAACCTCC